ATATAGGCAGATAAAGTATTTACCTAGTGCCTCTCAATCCTCCGAAGCAAAGACGCGATGAACTCTGGAAGTCTGGATATAAGGCTTGCATGGATTAAAAAATGATTTAAAAAAAAGAACCTGGGGAAATCCAGAAACAAATTAAGGGAATAAGTGAAGCAGAGAGAAAAAGAAATGAATAGTAGCAGGCAGAGGAAAGAGAAGTGACGGGAGCAAAAGCACATGGAGAAGGCTGCAAGGAGGACACTGAAGAGATAGCAGAGAAAGAAAAAGAAGTAAAGTTGATGATAAAGCTGCAGGATTTCCAATTGGGGAGGGGTGTGGGAAAAGGTCGACCAAACAAATATTTTGAAAAGGTAGGAATGAACGGAATGGAATAAGATGCTTTGCTCGCTGTGTCTGCCTGATTGGAACCCAACTCTTTCGCATTCTGAATACACACAACTTTCCCTTTCTTTCGTGACGACTCCAGTATTTGGCTCTTTCTGTGTGTTTGCCCTTCCCACTGAAGATTCTATTCTCTGTCACTCCCTGCACCACATGCCCTTCTGATCAATCATCATCCCTTCTTCCTTCAATGTCATACCATTTCCCGAATCAAGGATTCACGGGAAGCCATATATATGGGCCTGCCATTCACATACCCTTTCACCCCATTAAAAAAACATATTGTAATATTTTAATTCCCGTTGATCATCATTTGAAATGCAACTCCCTGGTTCCTGATTACGACGGAAGAACATGGAATCTCACGGCCAAGTTTTCGCCATTCTTGAACTTTTTATATAGTAGCTTTTGTGTTTGCCTTGGCCAACCCCTTTTGATGAGCACTTGATGATGATTGTCTCAATTATCTCCTTTGTTTTCTCCTTCTTCGGCTGCAATTCAGGCAATAAAATTTGAACCCCGTATCCAAGCAATATCTTCTTTTTGCATGAAGATCTCTTATATCGCCTTTCGGTCGCACTGATTAAGGGAATAAATGGAGAATACGGGCAAGTCTTTCCGTGGGAATTAGATGAAGATGAGATTTTTTTTTTTTAAAAAAAAAAAAGAACAAAATATTTGAAGTCATAAAGAAGCAAATTGGATTAGTTGAGCCGAAAGACCATAATATACGACCAGGTTCGGATTTTAACAGGCGGGGCCCGTCCCGGCCTTGATGGTGATAGGAGGGCCATTTGATTTGACATATCGGAGATTGATTATGCTTATCCATGTTCACATTTGATTGCCACGAATAATCATTAGTATTTGCATTTTACGCATTTACTAGGATTTACTATAGAGAAGACAGTTATTGCATGCAACGAAATTTCATCTAATCACCAGTTTCTTTAACAAGTCCCCCCCCCCCCCCAAAAAAACAGAGAAAGAAACCAATGGCTATATCAGAATATCCTGTACTTTCTTTTTTTTTTTAAATAAAAAAAGAAGTTTCTGCATGCTGATGTCTTGCAGCCGGCCAACTTTTCTTTTTTTTTTTGGTCCGGTCACGCGATGGAGCCTGCACGAATAAAAGTGGAATTAATGAAATGATATAATGGGATAAATAAATATATATACATATATAAAGAAAATAGGATATTTTTAAAATATTGTTTGGTAAGATTTTAATAAGAAATAAAATATCCTGTCAAAAAAAGTGAGTAATAAAATAAAGCGAACGAAGGGTATAAAATTATAAGGACAACGAAGGAGACAAGGCCATAATACTCTTGAAAAAACAAATGGGACAGAAGGACCCGAAGAAAGGAATAGCTGGGGGCAATTTTGATATTTCACCCACTTACTTATCAGACCGAAAGATTGACGACAAACAAATTCCTTTCAAATATGAGAGAACAAATTCAGCTCAAAAAAAATACGAGAACAAATGTCACTCTAGTTCTCCGTACCAAACGCAAACTCAACACAGATTTCCATTGGAATTAACTTAAAATAAGTGTTTTTTACTTACTAAATAAAATCATTCTCAAATATTTATTTTGTACTATAAAAAAACTATTTTTTTAATAGTTAATCCAGACAGGTAGTTTATTATTGGGTGAGAAAAAACATTTTGTGGCCACCAAACCAGGCTAAAGAGTGGGCCAGGCCTAATTGATTCTCAAGGCCTCTGTGTCTCTCATTTTCTCTAAAGAGTTGTCTGAATGGACCCAGAAGATAAAAGCAGTCAAGACTTGCTGTTCCATTGGAAGACAAGCGCATAGATTGAGAGTCGCCAAGTATTCATTCAAGCAGTAAAGCACCATTAACAAAGCTAATTCGTGATAGTCCCAACGATAATGAGTCGTAAGTTCACTTGTACCAGTTTTATAATTATTCAGACCACTCACATGTTATTATGCTGTTTGTATATTTAAACTTTAAATCGTTTTTTTTTGTTAATTAAAAGACTAACATTATTACGCATCATGGGTTATGCAAAATAAACTAATTGGAAAGGTCGGTGATGCTTCAAAAGACATGATAGAAGCTGGGCTGCTTGACGACCAATTCATTGTGAAGCAGAGAGAGGCAGAGGAATAGACAGAGAGACATGAAGAGAGCAGAGGAGGAATGCTCATAAAAGTGAGGAAGTCGCAAATGAATGCCTTGTTCCAGCACTCCCTGTTACTCATACTATACAAACCCTTGAGAAGATAACCCAATAATGAATTGAAAAACCCAAAATTTGTTTATCCACGACGAGCTGCTATTGGAGACGTTATGAGCTTCGATGCAGATATTAACAAGTCCTCAAATACTACGCATTGGTAGTATTCTATCTCATGAAACCCGATTATTGGACATGATCATAAGCCAATACTATGAGTAAGTAATGTGATTACTTGCTCTGTTTGGCGTGAAAGTTTGATGTTTTGACGTTGTTGGATGCAAAAGTCCTAAAAATAAAATGCAGGGTTAGTCTGAGATGGCCTTAGGTGGCATCATCAATGCTGTAGAGGGTGCTGTTAATAATGTGTGGGTCCTGGGGCAACATCTTCACCAAACATGCACGACACGAACAGTGAAGCTTAGTAATCACAGTGAGTAAGAAACAGGTAATGTCGATGTGTAGTGAGTGCTGCAACTTGGGATGCCTTTAATTTTGGCTACCAACACATGGTGGAGCTAGGAAGGAGAAGGGAAGAAGGAAGCGGCCCAAACATGGAGCATGGATTTCATAAATGGGCAAGAAAGTACAAATATATAAACGTGCGTGTGTGTGTGGGTAAGGGCAACAGTAATATTAAGAGGGAAAGCAGCTGCCTGTACAATAATAACCGAAAACATTTGGGAAGAGTGAATGGGTCAAGGAGACTTTTAGATCTTAAAGTCCAATCCAAGCACAAATGGATTGGTTTGGAAAAATATTAATTATGCCATTTGAATTTAATGTGAATGGCTTAGAATTACAATCAAGGGAGGTGTACTAAAAAGAAACCGGTCCTTTCACCAGTGTTGCCACTGCATCTACAAGCTGAGAGTACCATGCGATTTTTATAGTCTACCAAAAAAAATGAGGACAATTTTTAAGACGACAAGTTTTTGGCCCCATGAAACATGTAAAATAATTTTTTTAGGCGGTTAACGTAAAATAATTTTAGAAATAAGGTCCTTTATGTGAAATGTTTTCATTTATAGGCTAGACATATAGTTTTATATTGAAAAAATAATTCTTTTACGTGTATCAGTAAACGAACGCGGAAAAAATAACTCGACAAACAATACAAAAGACTCAGTCCTCACAAAGCTGATATGAAATCTATTCTCGTGTGGATTCAGGGAAGAAATCAGAAAAGTAGGGTAGGAAGTGGGATCTGCACACGTATAGGATCCCCCGGATGTTGCCCGTTCTCTCAAAAGAAGATCCGACAGAGATGCAGTTTGTTAACAACTTTAAACGTATTTTAACTGAGATTATATCATAATATGGATTCAAAGTGTTATGGGTAAACAAATGGACACGTTGTGCAGAAAGTAATATCATCCAAGTTCTTTTAAGAGTTTAGCTTGTTTGGCATCACGTCCTGTTTAAAATAACTTATAAACAGTTTTTCAATCGTAATTTATAAAATACGAGATAAATATATGATAAAAGTTTTATTTTAACTTATATAAAACATGCTTATAAGTACTTATATAAAGGTGTGTTTGGATTAACGATAATAAAAGTAAATTCTTTTAATTTGACTTTTACAAAATTTAAATTGGATAAAAGTCATATGGTGTGATATAATGACAAACAACTGTTTGAATGCAGACTCAAAATAGGAGGGAAAAAAAAAGAAAGAAATGAAGATGAGGAGGCCAAAAGCCAGAAACTAGAAGAAACTACGAGTTGCTTTTAGCTTCTAGTCTAGAAGTCTGCGGCCTAATAGTCAGTCGAAACATTTATTTGAGCTAGAAGTTATTTTTTCTCGGTGTGAAAGTCATATTAAGGTCCAAGTGATTACAAAAGTCTTAGAAGTTAGTAGGAGGAGAAAAAAATAAAGCTAGTTGGACTAAAAATCATGTTTAATATGACCCTGAGGTCAATTAACCTGCCCAAAAACCACTTTACAGTTGAAACAATTTTTTCTAGTTTCTGCCTTCTGATTTCTGGCTATCTTTTTTTCTTAAAGACTAAAATCACTTTTATTAACGTTGAGGCACACGATGTGAAAATGACTCAAATAGAGCGTCAACTAAAGAGTCAACTAGAGAGGCATAACCACCCGAAAACAAAGGATCTTTTTTGCTCCTTACAGCTTATTATATTTTTTTTAAAAAAAAAAAAACTTCTGCTACTCGTAGCAGTCATTCTCTTTCAGCATATGCATTCCCAAATTAAAAGGAATTTATACGTTATCCATATTCTTCGTGGTTTTTTTAACATAGCATTCAACCTTAGAACTATATTGCGCACCACAAGAACATATCCCCCGGCCCAGATTTGGCGGGAGAATGCCATGAATAAGGGGAATGGGCGGTATAGCAGTTAAAGTGAAAGGGGTAAGAAAATCAGAGGCTACTTTCACAGAAAATACAACTGCATTCCAGCTCGTAAGGCAACAAGGAATTTTATGAAATGTGCATGCCAACAAATTGATTGGTTCAACAAGCCTCAGATTATTTTTGTTACAACATTCCAGCAAAGCAGGAATCTTATTACGTAGCAGACAATCTAAAATCAACAATAAATTCAAAAATAATGATTGGTATCGATTGAGCATTAATACACCATCAAGGACCTTAATTTCTCACGGTAGTTACATGCTTGAGGAGCATAGAAACAACATCCTGAGATATTCTCTCAGCCTCTGTCTTGAGGTGACTGATCTTTGATTCAGTCTCTTGCTCAAGCCGCTTCACATTGGCACCAGAATCTCCACTACTCTGTGTTCATTGAAAATAGTGCAGACAATTTGGTCTCCATAACTAATAACAACAAAATCTAGGAATAGCTTAATATCTTTACTTATTACCATAAGCATAGCCTCACCTCTGCCAATTTCTTTTGGAACTCGTACTCCACCTGACCTCGATATTCAGAAATCTCCTTTTCCGCCTCTTCCTTGGCCTGCTTCAGCCTAGCCAATTTTTCTAACAACAGAAAGTTTAATATCAATAATGAAATAACAAATGGAGTTTATCAAATGTTAATATTTTTCTTTTTGGGGATTTATACAATCACACATGTCTGAGCAGCAAGCCCATTCCCATCATATGACCAGTTCACTCATGCTTTCAAGTAAGGATGAAAAGACCAAAGGAACAAAGGAGGGAGGGGTGGGGAGGAGCTAAAACTTTTTGGATTAAATCATTTCATTACAAATGTGAATTTTGATGAAAATAGCCAAATACATACAAGGAGAAAGAGATAGATTCACTCATGCCAATAACGGAAGCATAGAGGAGGGGGAACAAACGAGATTAAGAATACCATTCTTAGCTGCATTCACAATCTGCCGTGCTTCATGCTCTGCAGCCAACAACTGTTGAATTCCACCTTGACCCCTGTTGGATGCCATTCTGTGATGGAAGTAATTGTTACCTATGCTTGAAAGAAAACTGCCAGAAGAATAACCATTAAGTATCACCAAAAAATGAACAGCCATAGGGCAAGTGCTTGGGCAGTTAACATGAATAGATTAATTTTGCCTGAAAAACCTCCTCAATAGTCGCTTCCCCCCCCCCCTCAAAAAAAAAATCTTGTATATTAGTTAATGACTGTATACAGAGGAAGAGAAGAATCTCTTCTTCCTCTCAGAGAAAGAGGAATAACTCAATTTAAAGCATTATAATGGTCGATATGACGTGGAATGTGCAAACTAGAAGCTAGGTATTTTAACAGGAAGGGGAGCGAAATCAATTTACGCAAAATCCTGTGTTTTGAACCAGTAGGCTCCGCCGATCTATAAATGACAAGGAGAAAATATTTAATAGTAACATGAATAAAAAAGGATATAGAAGTTAAAATATTTCTTCAGATAAATCTGTTGGAGGATAAAAATGACAACCAAAAATTGGACCATGATTTTGACTGTCATAGTAAAAGAATTACATTAAAATTATTCTATCTTATTTTTATCCTTCTATGAGTTAGAATCATAGATGATTTAGAAGCCATTCATGATAACACAAGAACGGACCCACATAACATTCGGAGAAAGAAGGAAAACTTCAAACAGAGATTGAACGATAATCTAAGGCTACGAAACACATATGTAGCACGTATCGAACACTCATATAGGATGCAACGTAGTGAGACGCTTTAAATAATATATGAAAATCTCAAATTTTGTCATGCAGCCTTCTTCGAGTTAGTGTCGTGGCCGGATTCAGACTCCCTAAGTGGGAAGGAAACGGAGAATTATAGCCTCAAACTACTATTCATGGTTCGGTATAAAAGGCAGAAGATCGTTTCACTAGAGCGGTAAGAGATCCACACCAAAAAGTCAATCATAAGACCAAGAAATTGAGATTAGATGGCATTCATTCTTAAATCCCGTCAAAACCGAATCAGCAGCTCATCATCCTCTGGAGAAGATAAGTAAAATACTAAGATAACAACTGATAACCAGAGACAGATTCAAACAATGCAATATGTGATGAAACGGATAAATCAGATAATAAAATAGAAGACTGTTATCATGAGTTTATGCAAAGACGAAAAACAGATGAGCAGAGAGAAGACAGAAGATAAGTGAAATGCATACGGCGTGTTAGTCCCTCGTCCATAAGATACTGTCTAAAATTTATGCGTTTCCGGGCTTGTTTCCCTTATCTTGAAGTTCACCCGAACCAAGCGCTAAATCCAACCCAACCGAAATTTCCATCATCACGAAATAAAAGCTCAAAGTGACACAAAAAATAAAAAAGAGACAACTTTCGGGCCACGAAATTGAATTTCACAGATACCAGACGTGATAGTCCTCTCTACTCAGCGAAAATAGGCCACCCGAGCATGAGCTAGATTCTCATATTACACAGTGGCATGATCAAATGAGGGGGACAATGGATACGAGTTCAGTTTCCGTCCAGTCCAGGATTTTACCGAGAAAACATACAGGAAGCAGAAAGTGGAGAATACAGAAGGCACGACGAAACTAGATCGCTGAAAAGAACCATGATAACAGACAGAGAGAAGTGAAAAAATCGGGGCAGATTTGTACCGGACATGGACAAATCCAATAACCAAAGAACTCGCAGATCTGATATGCAGAAAAGAGGGGCGCAATAGAAAGATCAGAACTTACTTTGGGTGTCGGAGCGCGAAGAGAAGATTGAAGATAGAATAATCAAGGAACAATGGTTTCACGCCGGTCCTATATCTGTGTTCCAACTAGCAAGAGACGGTTTGTTGATTTGAGTTCCGTTTTACCCCGATCAAGACTAGCCACTTATTATTCGTATTTTTATTTTGTTTTATATTATTTTGGATGAGGGGAGAGACGGAGAGTCAATACCTTTTGGACTACATAGATTTTGATAATTATTGATACACATTATACTGTTTATCCGATTTTTTTCTTTTTTTTTTTGACCAAAAGATTATCCGATATTTCCGCGAGCAGAGATTCGTGGAGAAAATTTTAAAGAAATTAAATTTACTTATTATGTTGAGCAAGAAAAATTATGACAAAAATTGTAGCTACTTTTTTTTTTTTTTTTTTGCATCTTTTGAAAATATCTTGAAAATTTTTATATAAGCGTGTGTAAACGAGGGTAAGAAAATGTGAAAGTATATCAAATGCATAATTTCTTTTTAATCGTTAATATAATATATATCAAATTTAACAGATAATAGTATTCATGGCTTGTGGCTCAATTCTTCATAGAGGGCACTCACGTGTAATCCAAACTCACGCAATAAAAACAGATGACTAACCAATTACAATCTCTTTTAAAGGGTCCGATGCCATATTTCACATAAAAAGATATGCATATGTAAACAAAAATTCAAGTTTTATATTTGGTCATACTTCTGTCCCCTTGTTTTAACCTTTTTGACTCTAGCGTTATTTTTTTTAAATATATCCTGTAACGTTATTGAAGAATGTAACGAGGCAGTAAATTAAAAAGCGGTGATATAGTAACATGGATCAGACGTCGCCGCTCCTAGACAACTCCAAGTACACAGGATGCTTACGCTTCTGATTAGTAGTCTTCCTCTTCCTGCACATTAAGCCTCCCAATCCCACTAAACAAACCGCCCCAATCACAAACCCCATCGTCCCTCTCCTGTTCTCTCTACCATAACCTTCTTCATCTTCGCCTTCGGCATCCAAGTAAGCATCGTCTTCCGCTCTATATTCCCACTCTGTTGGCGGTGGGGTAGCCACTGAGCCAATAGAGGCTTCAGATGGCACTCCATAATCTGTGGGACTAGGAGCTTCAGAAGGAGAATAATCATCATCATAAAAATCATCGACTTCAGGAGCCATGACGTCAATATAAGGCGCTGGCGAAGGAGAAGGATATTCGCCATTGTAGGGGTAGTCTTGTTCTGTTGCCGGGAAGTAAGCTGGAGATGGAGGTGAAGGTGAAGGTGAAGGAGGGTACTGGCCATTGCCTTCTGATTCTGAAACAATGTCGTCTAGGGGATATGGCGATTCAGGGAAGTTGTCGTCTCCGTATGGAGAAGGAGCGTAATATGGAACGTCGTCCCTGTATGGAGGAGGAGCATAGTACAGAGAGTCGTCGTTTTCTGCTGCTTCCTCCACAGGAGCCGAAGCTGGTTCAAGTCGAGCCTGGATTGACAAGGCAAGTTGCAGCATCAGCGCAAAGAAAGTCAACATTTTGCAGATTTGAGTCATGGCGAAATCTAGTTTTTTGTATTCGTAAGTTGGCTTTTATGAAATGAATAGAGGAAAAGGGAGTATGTATGTATGTTGGATGGTTGGAGAAGTGAAATTAAACTTCAATATATATAGATACAGGCGTTTGGATTGTGGAGAGGGCACATGTGCATGTGTAGGTGATGTCATTCTTTCGGGATATAAATATTGAATGCTGCGTGAAGAAATTACTGGAAATGGTTTTCACTTTCTGGGGTTTAATGGCGCATTCATGTCTGACCCTGATGTACGGCGACCCGCTCCTCTTGTTTTCTCGAATTCAATGTTTGATCGAGTGAGATCGGAAAAGGGCCTGTCCCGTCCCTGTGTTGGATCCATGGAGCTATTAGAAACGAGGCAATTAATTGAAGATATATGCATTTTCTCCCTAATGACCATTTATGATTATATATTATCAAGGTCTAAGAATATTTAAATTAAAGCTTGCGTTGAATATTCTGATTTTATTTCATATGGTTTTATAATATGCTTATCAATTGAAAAAAAAAAGGTCTTATATATTCATGGTCGCTATTACTTCAAAGTTTTTATTTTTATTTGATGAGGGATACCAGTCCTTCAAGTGTTTAATACAATTCTCTTATCGTCTCTTTTATATCAAATTAGAAGAAGGTCTTAATTAACTCTTCACTTCTATTATATGCTGCCTCTAATCCTAAATATAAGATCTTGTTTATAGTATAAACAAAGTCTTTTATTTAGAATTAAAAGTAGTACTAAACATAAATTGTGTCTCTTTCCATCACCTTTTTAACCTTTTTCTTCTTCTTTTTTTCTACGCATACTTTCGTATAGGTATTCTCTTTCTATTCGGAGTAATTATACTCAAAACATTGCCGGATGGCAATTAGTCCATCAACTTTTCACTTTCCCTCTGCCATTCTCCTATAAGTGGTCGGATCTCAGACCAAACATAGGTGGCAAGCCTTTCGGCTGAGATCAAGTGTTGGTTTGGTGAGCCTTTTAATAAGAGAATCGGCCTGCTCGATCTAGTTCGGCCGGTCCAGTTCCCTGAACTCTTCTTTCCCGTTTTGGGCCCCGTGCTCTGCTTTCTGATTACTGAGCGAGTGTTTGGCATTCCTTCACACAAAAATCACTTTTGTGATTTATGAAATAAAACTTTTCTTGCATATTTATTTCAAATAACAAAAAAAAAATCAAGCAAACACCAATTCGAAGCACTGGCATATATTTACGTCTATCGGTGAATTATCGAAGACAAATCTCTTAATTCAGTGCTCTAAAATTTTTTAATGATTATAAATTAATTATCTGAAAAGGTATCAATAAAATTTTAAGTCTTAACACACCGAAATATAACTCAAGTTTATTGAGAGGCATTTCATTTTTACTTCGTGAAGTGAATTTTCAATTGAGAACAGCATCAAGAGAATAAACTAAGATTTTTAATTTCATCGAATTGAGACAAAAGTAATCCAGGTACTTAGATGTTATATCAATTTTGTTGTGGCCTGACAGATATTTTTGCGTCAATTTGTTGTTATTAGTTCAATGAAAATAAAATCCAATATTAGTTATAAACTGTGGCCGTGGTAGGATACGAATTATTGCGAATAGGATTCAATGATTCATAATAACCGGAGAAAAAAAAGAGAAAAAGAAAAAGAATAGGATTCATTCATAATCACGTGGGAGATATGTTGTTTTCATGCAGAAGTTACATGCTGCGGCAGCCGGCCACAAGGTGCCAATATTAAACCAAGATATTTTTTTTTTTGCTAAAATATGGACTCTCTTATTAGAGTCAATCCTATTTGACCCATTATCATGCATTAAATGTAGACACCTTTTCTGGTAGAGATTCAAATATTGTTTCGTTACGTTATAAAAGATTAGCTCCTTCTACTAGATCAAACCTCTGTCGGCATTAAATCAAAATTTTATTTTCTTCTCCTCATAGGATGCCCTGTGAAAATGGGGGGAGCAGATCCAATAGGCAGTAAAATTATATTAGTGACAAAGATGGATGCAAATTATTAGACACTCTCTTGTTCTTAATATAAAACTCAATTAACTAATTTGAATAAATTAAAGATGTTAGTTAATTTAGTTAATATGATTTTTTTTTAAAAACACCCCAAACGTCTTTTTGAATTCCCTCACTTCTCCCTTACTTGATTATTATTGAAGGAATATCAACAGGGTTAATTTAAAGAAATTAATAAACATATAAAATATATCTTGTATATAAGACCAACATTAATTCTCAAATTAGATCCTGCATTAAAGATCGAAAAAGTATTTTTATAGGATCGGAGGGAGGATTTTAAATCATGAGATCTGCCATAATTTTAATCTTGGTCAAAAATTAAAAAAAAAAATCAAAATTCGACTTAAATTCTTCATGAGCTGGGGGCAATCAATAAGAAAAAATTTGAAAGAATTACCTTTAAAATTTCAAAATTTTAAATTACTAAGGATTACAAAGATGTGTTGTAATTTGCTTTTCAGATATTATATTAAAATATAGTGAATAAGACCTATTTAAAATTTTAAAATTTAAAAATATTTGGACTCTCCTAATCAACAAGCTAGAGAGGAAATATTTATTATTTGCTATAGATATGTTATGTCTGCTTAGAAAAAAAAATACTGAAAAGAATAGGTGAATAAATATGAAATTAGAAAGAAAGAGGCCGGGAAAGGAGTGGATGGCATGTGATGTGAGGGCATAACGTGAATAAACACGCGGGGGGAGAGGGGGAGAGGGAGGGCTCACAAATGATGATTGCGTTTGATTGGAAAAGGGGACGTGGCCTCTAAAATCCAGCCCCTACTTGTCCTATTCCCAGCTCCTTTTTGCGTCCGCCCCTTCATCCCTCCCTCTCTAATTCCTCGCCTTCCCCTTCCCCTTCCCTTCTCTTGTGATCACCTATCACGTTCCCTCATTTCTTTAACTCATAGTTACCCCTACACATGCCATGCGTAAAATTCAAATAATTGAACTGCGTGCCAGTATAATTTGCTCTCAACATATTTGTTCATAATCAAGAATTTGTTTATAAACCCATTAACTCTGTTTAAAAATTTAAATGAATCTCATAAATAACTACAGGTCATTCTCCAAAAATATACATGTCTTACACGTGACAATAAAGGTAGTATATAGATGAGTTTCTCTAATTGGGTCTTGCAATATGCACACAGATGGCTACAATATTAATAGACTCCTCTTACTCTAATTTCAAACAAAACCCAAATTCTGCTGGTCCCCATATCCAGAAATACACATCCAATATCGATATGCATTAAAATCAAGCTCCGGGAGGACCACCTGCTCATGAAGCGCCCCAGAAAATTCAAAATACTGAATAAAAATCATGCAGGGAGGGACCATATGCCGTAGTGGCTATACTGAGCATCCCACTCATAAATCCATAAATGGCACAGAGAATAAATTGACACAACACAACGCCCTTCCTCACAGACTGAAAAACCTCCCTCATCGCCATCATCACCAATACACGTGAATTCAACACCACTCCAAGTAATTTTCTTTCTCCCCCGCGCAATTTATAACTTCACAAAATAAGGATACAGACAGTAACACGAAATAAATAAAAAAAACAAGGACATCAAGCGCACATTTAATTGAAATGAAGGTAATCCCTAAAGTACATAAATAACAAACTTGGTTGCTGACGCTAATTAATAATATATGATATAATTTCATGATATGAGGATGTACAAATTGCCATCCGCCATGCATTTGCAAATCAGTTCGGCCTCAATCCATCCTCCTCGATCGGCAATCCCCAGCGACAAAGCTGAGTGAGAATTACAAGTTGGAGTGGCTCCTGAAAGACCCCAGAGCTTTGGCCGCCTGAGCTCTCAACACAAATTGGTGGTAAAATGCCGCAATGGCCGCACCGATGAAGGGTCCAACCCAGAAGATCCACTGAAACCGAAACCAACCATATGCAGTAAGTTTCCTTTGCGCAGTTTCATTTGTACAGGCTAGTTATAGGAAATCGAAACGAGAAATATCAGGCAAATTAAAGCCGAAGATGTGTAATATTAAGATAACGTACATGGTCATCCCATGCCTTCTCATTGTTGTACATGACTGCGGCACCGAAGCTCCTGGCCGGGTTGATGCCGGTGCCGGTGATGGGGATGGTGGCCAGGTGAACCATGAACACCGCAAATCCAATTGGAAGAGGAGCCAGCACCTGTCAAAATTTAAGCTGTGCCTCAATATTTTGAACAACATACTGGAACACTTGTAGCATAGCAAATAACTCACTGCAGCTTCAAGTTTTAGAGCGTAAATCAGCAGGAAAAAGTAGGGGGGGGGGGGAAGAGGACAAAGAGAGGTACGCACGGGAACGTAAGAGTCTCTGGCATTTCTCTTGGGATCAGTGGCAGAGAAGACGGTGTAGACAAGGACGAAGGTGCCTATAATCTCAGCACCCAAGCCAGTGCCTTTGCTGTAGCCAGAAGACAACATGTTGGCTCCACCTTGATAACGGTTGTAGTAGGCCTTCTGGAAAGCCTTGACCAAGCCACACCCACATATGGCTCCCAGGCACTGAGCCAATACGTACATAATCGCTCTAATCAGCGACACCTTCCTGGCCAGAAACAGCCCGAATGTCACCGCCGGGTTTATGTGTCCTCCTGATAACACCAAAAATTAACTGAATCAATCATCCCCTGCACTCGGCAGTGCGTTAAGAGAAGGAGAAAAAGTGAGTGAAAGTTACCAGAAATGCCGGCAGTGCAGTAAACGAGGACGAAAATCATGCCGCCAAAAGCCCAGGCAACGCCAAGAAGGCCGACGCCATCGCAGGCGGTACCGTTGTGAGTCTGGCTTTTGTAACCAATTACAGTCAAGACAGTGATGTAGAGGAACAGGAGGGTGGCCACGAACTCGGCAATGACAGCCCTGTGGAAAGACCACTTGCGGAGCTCGGCGGTGTCGAAGAGGGGAGCGGGAGGGGGGTCATGGTAGTCCTTGTGAGGAGCGGCTCCCTCGAGGTCCGTGGCCATGCCGGAAACAAAGAATGAGAGAGAAGAGCAGAAAGCCTGTGAGTTAGGAAGGGGGGGTGGGAGAGAGGATGAGATAAGGTTATTTATGTAAAGAGGGGGTTGTATTGTATCAGATTCAGGTGGGGCCTGCCCTTAAAGCCTTAACCTTGGCTTATAACCCTATTCCCAGCTCAGTAAAATCTGGAGGCAGAGTAAGGATAGAGACAGGAGAAAGGATAGGTTAGAAAAGTGGGGTGAAGTGAGGAGTGTGCGGTTTCAGATGCAGAGTGGATATTCCGTTGGGAGACGGAAGTGGGATTAGATAGAGTGAGGGGGCAGCGATTGGTGTGGCTGCGTTGCAAGCAGTGAAGGGGCAACGTGGGAAGGCACATGCAAAAAGGAGCATGAGTTGGCGCCTTGGCGGACACGAAGCCCGCCAGCGCCTGAAAGCTACTTCGACTCCAATATTTTGTATTTATTATATTATCAATAATAAGATTTAAAGATTTTAATTATTCTTTCTAAATATTGCTTTCGAAGATAGGAGAGATATGCTGTGAAACAAAGGAGAGAGGAGGAAAATCCAAGAAGCCCCGCCAGCTGACATCCAGCTCATTTTTTCCGTATAAGCGACCCTTGCGAACGCAAATCCGCGGCCTCGGATCGGGATCGGAAACGGATCCCCCGGCCGCCTTCCGGGTGAAGCAAATATTCAGCACAAAATTTGGCTTACACTTGACACTACTTGCTTTGAAAACAAAACAGCCATTTATAATCTCGGTAAAATTTAAAAAGAATTCATGTAGCCATATACCCTTTTTTTTCCCTTTCCTTTTTTAATTATTAGATTAATATTTTAACAGTTTAGATTTAAATATTTTCAAAACTATTAGATGATGGAAAGGAAATGAGAGGTTACAAACTGCTGATTTTTTGTACACAAGAAGGGCACATTCGCAATAGCTCCTACTTCATCACCACAAAATATAGATGGGGAGGGAATCCAAGCGGTAAAATCGGCACCAATAACAGCTCCTACTCATGGAGAAACTTGGGAGCTGTTTGGGAGGAAGCAAAGCTAGGTATCAAATGGAATGTAGGGGATGTTGAACATGTACGCTTCTGGACCGATCATCGGATTGGTGATCTAGGCCCGCTTCATCACCTAGCTTATGCACCACTTTCAGATGAGGAACTCCAGCTTCCACTACGATACTTTGTGACAGATGATGGCAACTGGAAAATTGATGCAATCCGCGAGCAACTACCTGAACGTTCGATAGATCAGATAGCAGTAAGCCCCCCGCCTCAAATATCTGAAGAAGATCACCCAACAAAAGGAACTCGGAGACTCACCGCAAAGGGTGACTTTACAGTCAGCTCAGCTTATAAAATGCTCCGATCCCATGAAGGGGACAATGAAGATGCGAAATGGAAGCTGGTTTGGCAATGGCCTGGAGCTCAGAGAGTAAGAACATTCTTATGGCTGACAATGAACAACAAACTCCTCACGAACAGTGAAAGACGAAGACGTCACATGACTGAACTGTCTGAACATGATACGTGTGACATTTGTGGAGAGGTAAGAGAGGACATGGATCACGTGTTACGCAGGTGCAACCTCGCCATGAACTGCTGGAAGCTACTCATCCCGGATCGACACCTTCATGCCTTTAATTCGAGTAACTTTACGGAATGGCTGGTGACGAATCTGAGCACTCACAAAAGCAATCCCACTTGGTGTACAATCTCTGGTCGCTTATGTTGGCGCCTCTGGGACGCACGAAATCGCAAAATCTCCAGACAAGAGGCAACGGACCCCTACCAGCTTGTTAACGAAGTCATCGCACCCTGTGATCACACTATGAAGGCTCACAGATCCTGTACTAGTCATACTCGCAATTAAGTCCCTTCTGGTTGTACTGCCTCTTTTCCTTTTGGGCGACTCTCTTGTAAATATTCGGTTGAATAAAATATCTTTTCACTCAAAAAAAAAAAAAAAGGCGCACATTCACAGTATTTGCAGATCGCAAATAATAATACAATTTATTTGCCAAAATTTGCTGGGCTCATTGGCTGATATCCGCCCACGTGTATTGATCTTGCGACGGGGTGGCTGTGAAGTTTTTTCCCCTTTTATTCGTCCCCTTTCTTGTATGCGCCAATGCACCTGTCCAGAGGATTTTTTTAACCAAGAAAAAAAGGGGTGTGTGTGTGTTTCTGGGTTCTACGTATATACCCATGTATTTAAAAATCAACATGAAATAAACGTGCGCAAACCTTCTCCTCTGAATTTTTAGGTGGCTGACATTATTAATAATTTATAAATATTATAAATGAGATTGAAGCGTAACTCACTGTGTGCACGTACATGTGTGTGATGATTACTTCTTTGAAAATTTGACTAAAAATTTTGAGAACAACGCCTGAAATTATATAAATTTCCGAGGCAGCATGTCTAATTTCCATATTGAGGAGGTATTTAAGTTATAATGTGTCGGAAGTAGCAAGTTAGAGCTTTTTTTTTGGTCTTTTATTAAAAAAGAATGCTGTTAGAAAAATCGTTTAATGGGCACTCCGATCCAGTGGCTATTATTCGGTACAGGACAGTGTCGTTATACTCACATCTATAATTTCTCTGAGAATCATAGTGGCATGGTTTAGTAGCATTAAGAAACACATTGAGAAGTTGTGATAAGAACGTGGGGGCACCTTAATGGAGGTTAGTTATTATTGTAGCAGAGGAGGGGGGGGGGGGGGTAATATGCATGGCTGGTGGTGTTGGAAGTGGAAGGGTTGGTACAACACAAACACAACGAATATGATAGCCAGCCATTATTGCGTTCCATTATGGCCCGACACTATGGGAGCCCTCCCACTTCCTCCCCTGCATAGCCTTTTCCCTCCCACCTTTTGCTTATCCACAACAATCCCTACACAAATCTCAAACATTTTATGTCTCGACTTACATGAAGTTATAAGCTCTTAAAATAAGCAATGCAAACAAGCCTTAAGCATGCGAAAGCAATATATATGATCCCCTCCCGTGTGTTGGAAATGCGTGAATATAGATTCCATCAGATTCATCTAATGGCCCAGAGGGGAGGAGTGGCGGAATTTTCTGCCAGCGGTTCGAGTTGGGACGCAGGGGAAGGGGATCTTAATCTCTGCCTAAGTAAAGAGAGGCAGATATCAAAGACACATGCTTCCTCAAAATAACCGGAGAAGAAGAGCCTCTCATCGTGGAGTTGGATCGTCGTTTTTTAGGTGTTGTTTGTTACACCAACTAATAAAGTAATTATCTGATACGCACAACTCCTGTTTCCCAGAGCCAATATTCGGAAGAGATCAAAAAGAGAAATGAAACCTTTTTTCTTTTTCGGGTCAACATGAAAAAAAGAATCCTGAAATAATAATCACATTACCGGATGTAATGGGCTTTTGAAGCCCAGATAAGTGGGTTAAGTCAGGCCCATATTTTGAAACTTACCGGCCTGGCCTGCTCGTGAATGACTATCTTGTGATCAAGTTCATCCACCCAGGTGCCTAGCAAAAAAAAAAAAAACAGAAGAGAAAATCAACCCGAGGGTACAAGACATAATGATAAAGGAAAATACGGAAAAATAGATGAGGCAATCACTCCATGCTGATTTGTGTTATGTACTCCCCTTGTTCAAGTTATCAGTATCAAGTAACTAAATCGCGTAACTAAAAATGTCTGCCGAAATTGACTAAAAACAATAAATATGTAAAAAAAAGTAACTTATTTTCTTAAAATAATTTTATTTATGGAGAGGGCAAGTGAAAAAGAGAATGAATGGAAAAAAGAAATAAGAGAGACATATAATTAATTAATAATAAAAATGAAAAAAAATTTGATGCGTATATTTTAAAGAAGATGGTGGAGGCGTGTGGGCTATGCAGTGTATGATGTGTTTTTTTTTTCATGGGACAAATGAAAGAGGCGAGGTGAAATGCACAGTGGAGTCAAAGAAAAGACTCGTTTAAAAAATGCGGAGAAGTAGCACGCTTCTCTCTTAAATGGCCACCAAACATCAAAACGGCCTTTGGCGGAGTTAATTAAAATTAAAAAATAAAAAAGAACAGGGGGGGAAGTTACTTAGGCGGGGGGTGAACGGGGTAGGATAGAGGATGAGAAGCGTGAGATGTCGTGTGAGAAGCTCATCCTTATCTGAGACTGAATATCTATCTCCCACGGAACAGAGATAACCCCTCCTTGTCTTTTTTCCTTTAAAATACGCACGTTTCGCGGTGAGAGGCAAATCCTTCATCCCACAACAAAGCAACGTAACCCAGTTGCCAACAGACATGCCCATTTATTATTATCATACGTACCCTTCATGCATACTATCTCATAATTGTTGTATGCTTTTATCTTAAACCCCCGTGTCCCGCTGCATCAATAACAAATGTCTTAGGCGTATTTGTATTGACTTTTTAAAAATAACTTCACGGGTTTCCAGATAAACATGTAAAAAAAAATTTTATATGAATATGTATGAAATTATTTTTTAAATGCTTTTGAGGGGTTGTTAAATACCCCTTATAGCTGCCTACTTCATTCATTATTTTACCTTCAACCAGCATGACCACATGAAGCACAAGGACGGCTATTACGTCCACAGTGTCCTGTGTGTAGAAACTAGAAAGAGCTCCGTTAGTTAGGTGGCATTGTTGGCTTGTCTAGGCTTCTGTCTTTCTTCCCCTTTTCCCGCATTATTGATTTATTTCACCTTATCTCGTTCCCTAATTCCTTCTCCCAAGTTCCAAGTTCCAAGTTCCAACCCCCTCCCCTTTTTTCTCTCTCTTTGCTCCACTGTCCTGCTCAAGCCCTTCACCTCGATTCAGTAAATCTTCTGTAATCAAAACATATCGCCGTGAAGATTATCCTCAATTATTGATGCATTTAACCCCACACGTAATTTGCTACTTGCTCATTTCTCTGGGGATCCACGCTGAGTCAGTGATCGGCATATTCCCTTTCATTTCTTTTCAACAGCCCTGCGTTCCTTTATACACATGCATGTATATCACTGGAGGACTACAGATTCACATGT